AAAAAAAATCTATTCATATATAAATCGCGATTCTGTCTTCTAACGATTCTAATGGATTCACAGGTTTCAAAATCGATGTTCAAAAGCAGCGGTTCTCAATACTGTTCCTCGCGTTGCCCCTGCTCTTCACACACTCTGCATCTCTCTCTCTCTCTCTCTCTCAGCTCAGCTCCAACAATGAACTGTTCCAATTATGCACTTATTTTCACATAGCTATGAGAAGCATTAAACATGGACGTGCGTGTGGTTGCTGTACTGTATTTAAAGCTTTAATCAGGATAAAACCTTATATTAAAAGCTAACATAAGAAGTAGCATTTGCAACAGCATCTAAAAATATGAGACAACAACAAACAAAAAACATAGGCCTACCATTAAAAGCTGTGCTTGCACAGGTTCTGCGTGATCCTCTTCAATAATATCCTCTGCCTCTCAATCAGGCTCAAACTGATATTAATGATGCCATTGTTTACAATACAACCCCTGGCGAACATGCCGCTGAGGTGAGGGGCGGGACGTTTAGACGTGCACTAGAGGCGGTTTAGCCAATCACAACACACTGGGCTAGCAAACCAATCAGAGCCCATCGCCTATATCTGAGGGCGGGGTTTCATAAAAACAGGAAAAGATCAGTCCGTTTCTCAGAGTAGGGACAGAGCGGTGTGGAATAAAGGTAAATTATCAGTCAGCTTTGTGTAACAGGCCACTGGTCTCTCATCTTATCATTCGTCTGGCTAATTCGTTACTGTATTTATTGCATTAGTTATGAGATCGCAATACATGTCATTAAAATAGTATTCAGTGTAAATTATAATCTGTGGTTTGTTGTTCAACAGGCTCTCAAAGATGAGATTAAAGCCATGCACGGTCTACGCATATTCACTGATGTACCTAGAAAGTAGGAACTGCTCCGCGTCATTCTCACATCACGTCAGTCTGCTGTCTCACTACGATATGTTATCACACACCTCAGTCTGTCTCTCTTTATAAAGTAAATTATGCAGCGTTATAACAGTGGCAGAGGAGTAATTTACAGATGTTATTAATAAACGATGTACAGTTATAGAAAGATAGATATGGTTCACAAATGCTGTAATACGCACAAAATAAAAGACTGTCAAATGGATTTTTTTGCCTGTAAATGAGTGTGCAAGGCATGTGCATGGGTTGAATCTTCAGTCATTGTTCAGTAGTTTATTGATCCCGTTGTCTGTGTACAATCACACTTGGAATTAGCTTTTGTCAGTTGTCTGATTTATTTTCTGTTCTGTCATTAGGTCTGTTGATCCATTAAATCATATCACATCCTTTCCCCTTGTGTGGCAGAAGCTTGATTGTATTATAGGACAAGAAAACCAGATTGTTATTTAATATGTAATTTCTTCAACGCTTGTATTTTTTTTTTAAATGACCAAATGCATGGATAGGTTCTACAGAAACCATTTTCACCACTAGATGTCATTTTTGTGTTTTTTAACACAGTACGCATTTCACCAGTCGTATTTTGAATTGTATTGCCAGTTACTAAATAATAGAGAACTTCAGTACTTTATGATTTTTTTTCTTCTTCTCAAGGATTTTTGCATTAGTTTCTTATGTAGGCTATTACTAGTTTTACGGTATTGTAGCTTATTCGGATACCGTACGTGACACATATGTTCTGCTTTCCAGTGTGGTGGATAAAAGCATTGAATCAGATTCATTAGCGAATCGGTTCGTTCGGACAGTTCGTTTCAGTGGTTCAGAATGTTTAAATCGATATGCCAGAAGTCCAAATTTCGGCGTATAGACGTAAATATCTTTAAGTTAAATATGGCTGCTTATCATTGTATTTCCGAATAAAAATGTGTACAGTCTTTTTAGTTTCGGTGAACCGTTTCAATGATCTGTCGACTCACTTGAACTACTTAAAAGTGTTTATCGATGAAAATTGTACTATTTTTGCCCCACTTTTTTTTGGAGTTAGTTAAGAAACAGTTTAAAGCACTTTATTTTCGAAAAAGTCTCGTACATTCTAAAAGTCCAGTGATTTACAAATGTTGTGCGATTCGGTTCGAATGAACCGGTTCGAAAGAACGACTCGTTCACGATTCGAACATCGCTAGTGGATGGTGCGGCAGGAGCAGCAAAGAGAGCGCAGTCTCCAGGAGGGCTTCGGCAGACCGTTAGGCTGTTCACATCGTCTTCAGACATGGCAAAGGAAGGGACTGAGATTGCTGAAGAGACCGAGCAAATGATAGACCAGAAGGAGCCGGATAATCCCGTTTGTGCGGTTGTAGATTCAAAAGAAATGCGGGCTGTGGTGCTGACTGGCTTTGGTGGTATAAACAAACTCAAAGTCACCAAGAGACCAATGCCAGAGCCTCAGGGAGGAGAGGTCAAAATTCGCGTGAAAGCATGGTAAATATTTCATCTTAAATAGTCTTTTATTTCATCTTTTTCAACATGCGTAATGACTATGATGTGGCACATCTGAGACTTCGCGCGACTGGCAACAGCAGCAACATGTTGCCGCAAGAAGAGCAGGTGCCTTCATTATATCCATAATTCTATTTAGGGTTCAAAACCGTTCATGATATGAATGTTGGTGGTTTTGGAGGTTAGATGTTTCATCAGAAAAAAGAACCCGTACCTGTTTTGTTGATTCCTCTGCGGAGCTCAGCATACACTGCAGAGATTTCAAACCATATGCTGTGAAAGGATATACTTTTTAATGTTTACTTATGACTATTAAATTGTTGAAACAAAGAATGTAACTCTTCTGTGTCACATTTAGGAATAATATCCTCTAGCAGATCCTCATCTAGTTGGTTCTTGATGTGCTTGACTGCTCTTGGGACATTTCAACTTTAGTACACTCTAAAAAATGCTGGGTTAAATACAGCCCAGTGCTGAGTAAAACAGGGACAAACCCAGCAATTGGGTTGTTTTGACCCAGCGGTTGGGTTACTACCCAGAAGGTTGGGTTAAACATTTAACTCAACCGCTGGGTCAAAACAGCCCAATTGCTGGGTTTGTCCCTATTTTACCCAGCACTGGGTTGTATTTAACCCAGCATTTTTTAGAGTGTAATATCGCGTAAATACGCGGAATAACGCCTATTATATATAATATAAAATTGTTATTGTGTATTGTGAACTTGATCAAATTTGGAGTATTTCAGAATACTTTCTGATTGAAATGAACTAGAATTAAGTATTAGCTAAATTATCTTTTAATTTTACAGTGGGCTGAACTTTCTTGATCTAATGGTGCGTCAAGGAAATATTGATAATCCTCCAAAAACGCCTCTTGTGCCTGGATTTGAGTGTTCTGGGATTGTAGAGTCTGTGGGAGAAAACACCAAAGGCTTTGAGGTACGCGCAGAAATGTTTTTAATGCTGATGTGTTGGTCGTGTACTTATTCAGGAAGCGGTTAGTACCTCTAGCAGATCCTCATCTAGTTGGTTCTTGATGTGCTTGACTGCTCTGGGACATTTCAACTTTAGTACACTCTAAAAAATGCTGGGTTAAATACAACCCAGTGCTGAGTAAAACAGGGACAAGCCCAGCAATTGGGTTATTTTGACCCAGCGGTTGGGTTACTACCCAGAAGGTTGGGTTAAACATTTAACTCAACCGCTGGGTCAAAACAGCCCAATTGCTGGGTTTGTCCCTATTTTACCCAGCACTGGGTTGTATTTAACCCAGCATTTTTTAGAGTGTAATATCGCGTAAATACGCGGAATAACGCCTATTATATATAATATAAAATTGTTATTGTGTATTGTGAACTTGATCAAATTTGGAGTATTTCAGAATACTTTCTGATTGAAATGAACTAGAATTAAGTATTAGCTAAATTATCTTTTAATTTTACAGTGGGCTGAACTTTCTTGATCTAATGGTGCGTCAAGGAAATATTGATAATCCTCCAAAAACGCCTCTTGTGCCTGGATTTGAGTGTTCTGGGATTGTAGAGTCTGTGGGAGAAAACACCAAAGGCTTTGAGGTACGCGCAGAAATGTTTTTAATGCTGATGTGTTGGTCGTGTACTTATTCAGGAAGCGGTTAGTACTTTTCTAAGCTTTCATAAAAATGTTCAACTGGAAAAAAAAAATGTCCTGGTTTTATATGCTTCCGAAATCAGTCCTTTCAGTCTGGTGCTGAGTTTGCTTTATAGAGTTGAGAGAAATAGTTCACCCATGTATGAAATTTTCCATCCAAGATATAGATGAGTTTCTTCATTGGGTCACTTGCTCACCAGTAGGTCTATTGCAGTGAATGGGTGCCGTCAGAATGAAAACATCACAATAATGCACAAGTAATCCACGTGACTCCAGACCACCAGTTAACGCCTTGTAAAGCAGAAAGCCCTGTGTTTAAAAAAGCTTTTTTTTTTTAAAGAAACAAATCCAGTGTTTTAACTATAAACTATTGCTTCTGGCCAAAATAATTGAGGCCATAATCCATTAAAAAACACATTCCTCCAGTGAAAATGGAAAAAGTCCATCCCCTGTTGTCCTCTCACATCATATTTGTTTAGAACTGTTTTGGACGGTTTATGCTTATAAACGGTGTTTGATCTTTGCATATTTCTACCCTCACTTTATCAGACCATACAACCTTTTCTTTGGAGAAAGCAATATAATAGATAGAGGATGTATGTATTTTAGCTGGAAGCAAGGTTTGGAATTAAAAATGAATTTGTTTATTACAAACACACAGCTTTTCACTTCACAAGATGATAAGTGATGAGTGTGGATTACTTGCAATGTTTTTAGCAGCAGTTTGAACTCTCATTCTGATGGCACCCATTCACTGCAGAGGATCCATCGGTGAGCAAGTGATGCAATGCTACATTTCTCCAAATCAATGAAAAAATAAACTCATCTGCATCTTGGACGGCCTGAGGTTGAGTAAATTGTAAGTATATTCTTATTTTGGATGAACTGTTCCTTTAAGGACCATGTTTTGCCTCATTTCAGATAGGTGACAGAGTGATGGCCTTTGTAAACTACAATGCTTGGGCAGAGGTGGTGTGCACACCGTTGGATTTCGTGCATAAGATCCCAGACGACATGACATTCCCAGAGGCGGCTGCCTTCTCTATGAACTTTGTGGCTGCCTACATGATGCTGTTTGAAGTGGCCAATCTCCGGGAGGGGATGTCTGTATTAGTTCACTCCGCAGGAGGTGCGGTGGTAAGTCTGTAGCTTTGAGGGAAAGGTTTAGTAAAGAAACTTTGATGTCGCAGATATTAAAGTTATGTTTATTTTAGCTTATAGAAAAATGGGGATTTGGACACAAACATATAATCTGATCCCACACTGATATTCAGCTTTCCAAGCTTAACGATATGGCTTTTGGTGGAATACGATCAAAATGAGTTGAACACATTTTGTTCCGTTTCTTCTCTTTTTGCATATTAGGGTCAAGCAGTCGCTCAACTTTGTTCCACTGTCCCGAACGTCACTGTGTTTGGGACCGCCTCACCCTTCAAGCACGAAGCCATAAAGCATTCAGTCACTCATCTGTTTGACAGAAACATCGACTACGTTCCGGAAGTTAAGAAGTAAGCACAAACACTGTTGTTGGTACGCGAGTAAGTAAATGAGCATAGAGAAGCGGGATTGGTTAGATGATGAGAATATAAAAATGAGTCATACTGGGAGGCCAGTGCAAGTCTGAGATTCAGACGTCACCAGTACTTCCTCTAGACCTGCGTGGCTCCAGTCCCCATGGCAACACCCAGCAGATGGGAAAGTAGTGTGTTGTAGTATGGGGAGGGGCAAATGTACGTCCTTCTGATCAACCACACAAAGCCAGAAAATGTGCAGCAACTGACTCATTCAGAGCCAACCGCAACAAATATGAGAAAACATTATTTTGTAGGAGATTAAAGGGCTGGTGTCTAAAAATTCCTATGGTGAATCTCATTTGTGTAGCATCTTTTGATATATTCTTTTTTGGTTGCACTGTATTTTAAGGTGTCCTTGTTACAGTGATACATTTAAGTATATTAATTAACTAGATGTACTTACTCTATGGTTTGGGTCAGGGTTACTTGAATGTAATTATGCTTAATTTATTGCTGTTGTTATAATAGTAGGTACCTGTAACGTGTAACAAGGACGCCTTAAAATAAAATGTTACCTTATTTTTTACAGGTTTCCTTTACAAAAATAAATGAATAAATAAATAGATAAATAAATAAAAAGTATTGTAGCAAGATATTGGTGGAGTAATGCTAAAAAATACTATGGTAATTCTAAAATAAAAAACAACAACATAATATTATCTTGGTTCAACAAAAAAAAAATTTTTTTTTTTGAAAAAATCATTTTTCAAAAAAGTGAAACAAAAAATTAAAAATTGTAGCAAGACTATACTGCAGTAATGTTAAAAATACCATGGTTATTCTAAATTACAAAACAACAACAACAACATGTTATTATCTTGGTTTATGCCTAGATTGATAGTACTTGATTGTTTTGTTGGGTTTATTCTAACAAAATAAATACTCAGTTTTATTGAAATAATTTGATTTTGGTGCACGTTTATGTTTGAACAAAGCCAGAAGATGTGCAGCAACTGACTCATTCAAAACCAGCTGGAAGAAATTTGAGAAAACATCATTTTGCAGAAGATTGAAGGGCTATTTCCTAACAATTCCCCTGGATCTCATTTGCAAAGCATATTTTATCAGTTTTTATTGGTTTCCCTTACAAAAAATGTCTTATAGCAAGACTATGGTGCAGAAATGGTACAAATATCATGGTGATTCTAAAATGAAAAACAACAACTACAGCATGATATTATCTTAGTTTATGTCTAAAATGATAGTACTTGGTACTTTTTGTTAGTGTTATTCTAACAACATATATATTTAATTGAAGTGATTTTGATTATGTTTAGACAAAGACAGAAAATATGCAGCCACCACACTAATAAATACAAATAAAAAAAGTATAGCAAGACCATGGAGCACAAATGGTAAAAATACCCTGGTAATTCTAAAATACAAAACAACTACAACAAGGTATTACCTTGGTTTAAGTCTGCAATGGTAGTACTTGATGATTTTTTTAGAATATATGTGATATGTGTTTTTAAGTGATTTAATCTCGCTGCATGTTCATGTTCAAACAACTGACTAATAAATACAAATAAAAAAAGTATAGCAAGACCATGGAGCACAAATGGTAAAAATACCCTGGTAATTCTAAAATACAAAACAACTACAACAAGGTATTACCTTGGTTTAAGTCTGCAATGGTAGTACTTGATGATTTTTTTAGAATATATGTGATATGTGTTTTTAAGTGATTTAATCTCGCTGCATGTTCATGTTCAAACAAAGCCAGAAAATGTGTAACATGACCATGGTGCAGAAATGGTAAAAAATACAACAGTAATTTTAGAATTTAGTAATGGTAATTGTAGTACAATGATAGTAGTTCTAGAATACATGTCAGTTATGTCTATTATGGTAGTATTTTATGCTTTTTGTTAGTTTTATTCTAACAAAATAAATATTTTAATGAAGTGATTTGCTCTTGGTGTATATTTATGTTAGAACAAAGCTAGAAAATGTGCAGGAACTGACTTGAGAAAACGTTGTTATTATTATGTAGAAGATTCCATATGGTGGATCTCATTTGTAAAGCATATTTGTCCATTATTATTGGTTTCCTTTACAAGCAAGAACATTGTGCAGTGATGCTAAAATACCTTGGTAATTCTAAAAATACAAAACAACAACGTATTACTACCTTGGTTTAAAACTATGGTAGTACTTGGAACTTTTTGTTAGTGTTATTCTATCAAAATATGTTTTATTGAAGGGATTTGATCTTGGTGCACGTTTATGTTCAAACTTATTCACGTAAATTGAGTATGAGAGCGGAGATTAGGACTCTTTTCATCTCTGTGGTTCCACATTCCTCTCAGGATCAGGGGCAAAGCTAAATTAAATTGGTCTCAAGTTGGTCTCTCTTCCACAATAGGCAGGACCCCAGGCATCACAAGACCTCCTAATGGTTAAGCCTGGCAGGCGGTCCAAGAACCATGAAGTCAGGAATGCATTAGAGCCCATGTTTCTAAAGACATACCTCTCATTCCTTATCAGCTGAGACGCTGAAAAAATATTCAATATTAGGGCAATATTAATATTCAAAATTTTCAGAGGCCCCGATTTAAGCAAGCTACCAGTGCTTAGAGCAGCAATATGGTTAATGATGTCTCTTTTCTCCTGCAGGATATCTCCAGATGGAGTAGATATTGTACTGGACTGTTTGTGTGGAGAGAACACAGGAAAAGGCCTAACTCTGCTCAAGCCCATGGGAACGTACATCCTGTATGGTTGGTACAAACGGATGAAGAGCATTTGCATAACACTGAAATTAATTAAACATTTCAAAATGAAAATTCTGTCATCATTAAGCAGTGTAACTTTCCATCTTCTGTGGACCACAATATGCGTTGTTTTGAAGAATGTTCTTGCAGTGCTTTTCCTTATGAGAAACATTTAATCACCGTAAGCTGTAAAGCACCAGAAAGGACAAAAAATGTGCTATAAGCGATGTTCCCAATCCCTTGTGAAAAAGAAGTACATTTTAGCATACTTTAAAAAAAAGAGGACTTTTAAGGGAAGTAATGTACATTAAAGGAATGTACTTAAGTGCAAACTGAACTGCTTTTGGACACTTAACTGCATGTTATTTCAAATGAAATGACAATTAGTTGAAATGCAGAGTGCTTTTTTTTGACCCACTTAAGTTGAATGCAAGTACAAGTTATATGCCGTTTCACATAGAAATATGGTTTAAGTGTACTGCTGAATGTACTGACAAACATTTATGGTAAACTGAAATATTCTAATGTCATTTTCTATTCATGTCATTTCTATTGAAACTTGTATGTCATGTATTTAAATACATTTGTAATTACACATTTGTTATGATGAAATTACAATTTACTACATTTAAAATATATTAACTTTAAATAGAATATTGAATAACACACTAGTTAAAATTATACTTAAATACCTTTTCACGTATTTTAGTATGCTATTCAACACATCAAAATAATTATACTTGTTTAAACATGACAATAGTATATTAAAACAATTATTTAAATTGCAATTTAAAGTACATTTAATTTGACATTATTACAAATTAGACTTTAATTTGACATTATTACAAAGTGCATTTTTAAAAGCACATTTAAGTGTGTTAGGAAACATAGCGTACTCTCTTAAAGTACACTTAAGTGACCTTATACTTCATCAATGTTAAAATAGCTGCAAGTACAGTATTTTAAAATATATATTTTTTAGATTTAAAATCCCCATGAAATCAAAATTAAAGTTTTTTGGGTGTTAGTAACAATATGTTAGTCTTAAGGTTATCTATAAGGCAGTGTGCTCCAAAACAGTGACAAAATTCACATTTAGAAGATATAAGCATTCAAAGCTTGCAGTTCGTCACTTCCGCCAAAACGGCACAATTAATTTTTTTGACGTCACATCGTACTTCATCTTCTCATCAAATCTTCTGACCAATCAAATTCTCTCCAGAATCCGAAGCACCCACCCCCTGCTCTATAAATAGACACTGAAGCGGCTTGAGATTAGGGATGGGCGATACCACTTATTTTGTTTTCGATACGATACCGATATTTTTCAAGGCAGTATCGTTCTGCAAGTACAGTATTTTAAAATATATATTTTTTAGATTTAAAATCCCCATGAAATCAAAATCAAAGTTTTTTGGGTGTTAGTAACAATATGTTAGTCTTAAGGTTATCTATAAGGCAGTGTGCTCCAAAACAGTGACAAAATTCACATTTAGAAGATATAAGCATTCAAAGCTTGCAGTTCGTCACTTCCGCCAAAACGGCACAATTAATTTTTTTGACGTCACATCGTACTTCATCTTCTCATCAAATCTTCTGACCAATCAAATTCTCTCCAGAATCCGAAGCACCCGCCCCCTGCTCTATAAATAGACACTGAAGCGGCTTGAGATTGGTCACTTATTCACAGTGTAGTATTTCCTGTACAGTGAATGGCACGAAGTGCACAATGTAGGTGATAGGGAACGATTCAGACAGTGTAAATATGCTTTTGATTGGTGCAAATAAGGTCTGGTTTCACATTGTTTCACACGAACCGTGGCAGCGCAAACAGTCTGATCCGGACTTTGGCTCCGGTCCAGAGACGCGATCGCACGGAGCGGATCATATGCGCGAGTCGGCATATATTAAAGACTTTTACAACTACACAGCCTCAGCATGATTATGACCACTATTTTGTTTTACTAAGAGTTTCATATTGAATCTAGGGGGTAATCTATTAGACTGTGACTGTCAAAAGCGACTTTACCAAGCTCAACGGCTCTGGCCCTAGCAGATATAAACAAAACGCTATTGGCTATTTTAAAAAGGGGGCGGGGCTGCTTGATATGTCCCGCCCTCTCTTCCTGTTTCAGTTGAAATTACGTCACCACATAGAATAATGCTGCGTGTTTCAAGGCACTTCAGGGGACCTTTAAGTACACAACAAGTGGACACGACCAGTGATGACAGAACTTTCATTTTTGGTAACTATTGCATCATGCAATGGATTGTAGAGAAAGAGAAAAAATGTAGCAAGATGTCATACCCCATGAGTAGGAAATATCCAAACGGTTCATGTGTGACCTCTTGACCCTCATTTAAAAGCAGCCACTAGACACACAAGGTGTCACATTCTAGGTGGCCAACAGCAAATTGAGGTTAATCACATAATTCTCATAAAAGATAATGCCTGCAACTTTAATTACTTCAATTCCCTTAGCTTTCTGGCCCATTAGGGATATTTAATTAGGAGGGACACCACAGAGCAGAGATAATGTAAAATTTTGGTTTAAGAACACATTACTGCCAAATGAATGAATCAGTCAACATAATTCTGGATGGAGCTTATTAATAAGAGAGCCATTTGGCATTGCTGTAATAGTGCCATGTTTTATTGCTTCATATGCCAAGACTGTACTTTGTGTCTTTTAACATTAATTAGTGTAATTTCTGAGCCACTTGCATCTACAAAATTTATAATTGTTTTTAAACATGTTTTCCGATTACTCCCCATCTGCCATTGGTTAAGTTAAAGCTTGATAGACTGGTTGAACCAATAGTGTTGCATCGGGTTTGTTGGGATGCTCAAACAGTGCAGTGTTTTGAATGCTTCACAGAGACACAGTGTTACACCGTTAAATGCATTTTATGCAAATAGTCTACTCTGCTATACTGTTATGAAGATCTCATTGATTTACATTACAAGTTATCGGAATGTCATCTTACTTTTTGGCCATAAGAATGTCAGCAGCTGAACCACATTTTTGCTCAGTGTGGGCCTCTGAATAGAACTGAAGTATGAGCGCCATATTCTCCTATGTCATACTATATGAGCCATAGAAGTCTGGTGTATCAAATATGATACTCAACAAGAAGCACATGTGCAAACCTTTTTTTATATCATATTTAAAAAGGCTTCTGAAAAATATATACAGTATTAAAATGTATCTTTGTGAACACATTTCCAGGTTCATCAAACATGGTGACAGGAGAGACAAAAAGTTTCTTCAGTTTTGCTAAATCTGTGAGTAGAGTTTGATATCTATTTTCCATAACATCTTCAGTGTTGCACCATGATGAAGTTTTGGTGGTCAGTTTATTGTTAAAAACATTGCTCTTTATCTCACAGTGGTGGCAGGTTGAGAAGGTGAACCCTATCAAACTCTATGAGGAGAATAAAGTCATAGCCGGATTCTCGCTCCTGAACCTCCTCTTCAAGCAGGGAGGGTGCAACCAAGTCAAAACAGCAGTGCAAAAACTTCTTTCCCTTTACGACCAAAAGAAGATCAAGCCTGTTGTTGATTCCTTATGGGCACTTGAGGAGGTAAGAGACAGCGCTTTCAAAAGCAATCAAATTTTCTTCCAACTTGTGAAATATATAAACACATTGTACTCATGTACTCCACCAGTCAGATGTTTGGAATAATTACGATTTTGTAACGTTTTTGATAGGCGTGTCTTATGCTCACTTTGGCTGCATTTATTTGATCCAATATACAATAAGAAAACTGCAATATTGTGAAATATTATCATAACTTAAAATTATAATAAATAAAAATACATTTTCTGTTGAAATATATTTAAATTTATTGCATGCTCTATTTTAGGATTCTTTTGATGAATAGACGGTACAATAGAACAGCATTTATTTGAAATATAATTCTTTTGTAACATCCTTGCTGTATAAAAGTATTCAATTCTTTTCTTTCTTTCTTTTTTTAATCTTACTTACCCCAAAATTTGAAATGGTGTATCATGGTATCCACTAAAATATTAAGCAGTGAAAACTGTTTTCTACATTGATAATAACGCCAAATCAGCATATTAGAATGATTTCTGAAGGATCATGTGACACTGAAGACTGGAGTAATGATGCTGAAAATTCAGCTTTGCATCACAGGAATAAATTAGATTTTAAAATATATTCAAATTGAAAACAGTTCTTTAAATTGTAGAAGTATTTAAAAATATTACGGAGTTAAAATAAATACAGCCTTGTGAACATAAGAGACAGTAACATAAGAAATATTGCAAACTTTTGACCGGTAGTGTATCTTTACGTGCATATTTTACTTTTAGAACTGAAAATCACAATTTTTTACTCATTTCAATGCAAAGAAGTTTGCCAATCATAACAGAGCGTATTTACACAGAAGAAGCCTTAAAGGTGCAGTGGCAGATACAAAAATGGACATTTCTTAGGTACAGAAAGAATAAAAATTTGTCTGTTTTTAGATCATGGAACCTCAGGAAAAGGAAATGGAAAGAAAAAAAAATTTATATGATAGGATCTCTATGAAATCTATAGATATATCAAAATATTCGCAAGTCTGCGAATTGCCATTCACTACCCATTTTCCGTTTAAATGTGATAAATTTACTACTCAATGTTGACTTTATTTTCATTGATCAATTCAACACAGTGACTCATTTTATATTTAGAGTTTGATTCTCTTTCTTTGTGCTTGGGTTAGTGTGATTTCACTTCAGATTTCTGTCATCAGTCAAGCAATACATTTACCTACTCTAAATCCCTGAAAATTGATTTCCCTAAAGCCCTTTGAAAGCTCGGCTTTTAAGGTTTGTAAAAGTAAGACGCGTGCCAACCTCCATTCCTGCATGCAATCAGCTGCTGTCTCAGACCATCAGATGACAGGTGGGCAGTTCGGCCCTTGTGCATCTTTTTGCTTTGATTACGGCTGGTTTATGTCGTTCTGTTCTTCCTACACAGCCAGACAGCCCTCCCTCTGTGAAACCCAACAGAGCAGCACAGTCTGCGGCCAAACCTGCCTGTGTTTAACAGAGCTGTGTGTGATACGCTTCATTCACATTGCAGAAGTCTCGGAGAGTTGATTAATAGCTCATAGAGTCATTATTGCATTATTAACGTTGAAAATGATGAATAACTCTGCGATTTCCTGTGTGGTGTGGTGACACATTTTGCTGCTTAGATTATGCAGCTGTAAATTACTTTTCCTTTTCACTTATTCTGGTTGCTTGTTTTTCTTGCAAAATCTGGCAACGCTGAACTGAACCATTAATAGATTAATAATTAGTTAAATATATTAAATTTAACCCAAGAAGTCAGAGTGTTGCACTCAGCCCTGTGAAAGAATAAATTATATTTAATAAACTAGTGGATCTCACAAAAGAAAGAGCACACATCAATCACTGCTTTAATATTCAGCCTGTTTTACTGATTTTTTTTTTTTTACTTTATATGTTACAGACTTTTAGGAATAATGTGCATTTACAGCAAAACTGTCACAACCTCTCACAGTTCATATGAAATCTTGAATTGAAGCTGCCAGCTAAAGTATTAACAGGGTCCAAAATTAACACTAATTAGCAAAGTGCCAACTGCAAGAAGAAAAAAAAAGGTTTTGGTGAGTAAATCAAGTCAATCGCCACAGAGAAATAAAGCCTGTCTTGCTTTGGAATGAGATTGATTCACTTGCATTATTTTTATCAAATAAAAACAGGAAGGATAAGTCTTGAGTTTTAGTGATTACATTTTCTTAATACATCTGCAGGTAGTATCTGTCATTCGCGTTATAGCATAGTGTATAAAAGATAAAATAGACATACAATTTAAAATCAGAGGAAATAATACTTGAGACCGCAGAAGAACAATACCCAAAATATAAATAATAATAATAATAGTTTTGTCCCTATTTTGGGTTTTTAACTAGTGTGCTTATTGTGTTGTAAAACACTTTTGCTGCTGCTGAGGTGGAATATGGGTAAGGTTAGAGGTTTATGTGTGGGTTAAGGGTTAGGAGAAGGGTCAACAGTGTAGTTATAGATCTATGTACAGAAATGAATCACGGATGTAATTACAGCACATGCAAATATTTTGAAAATATAAATACTGTATATGTTGTTACAGTCTATTTTGGTGGAAATTCTTTTACTAAAACATATATATAGAAACAAGATGGCGCCAGTGTCGGCATGCCGTCTGCTGCTCTCTTGTTTGATAGTCTGGTTGCTTGTTTTGTATTCAAACTGTGGCGCCCTTGTGGGTTATGATCGCCAGACTCTTTTGGACATTCGATCAACACCTTTTAGCTTTCACAAGTCGGATGTGGAGTGTGTCTTTAACAAACCACATGGACGTTTTACAACGGACATTCCGGAGTGCATTCGCTTCTGGCCCCATAACAACACGGAGGAAGCGCAGGAGAAAGCGCGGGTCTTGGGGAGGACTTGCGATCAAGCTGAAAGGCCGTCTACATGCGGGCTATATTTCAAGCCCTTTTCTCGAGCCACTCTATGGCGGCTCCGTGGTCTGGCGTCTCTTGGATCAGACTCACCGGTGGCTTCGACCTGTTCTTCCCCTGTTCCCGCCCTCCGTCTCTCGAGTTGGCCTTCCTCGGATCAGCCGCTATCTCCGGAGTACTGGAGCGGCTCCTGGTATGATGCGTCTGCTGTGCAGAGTGTCACTCTCCCCCGGCGCTGTCCCTCCACCCAATATGGTTTTAATCAATGCTCGTTCAGTGGTGAACAAGACCTTTCTGCTGAATGACTTCTTCTCTTTACATAATTTGGATTTTATGTTTATAAATGAATCATGGATTAAGGATGGCGATCTTACCCCTTTCTCTGAATTGGTCCCGGTTGACTGCACATTTTTTACCTCCCCTCGCCAAAATGGACGAGGGGGTGGGTTAGTGACTGTTATGAAAAACTCTCATCGTGCGCAATGTCGCTCCATTCCTGTGGATATTTATACTAGTTTCGAAGCTCAACTTCTCCATCTCGACTGGAATGGTCCTGTCTGCTTAGCGGTGGTCTACCATCCTCCACATTCAGTTAAGGATTTTCTACAGCAATTCACTGACTTTATTGGTAACATTGTCACTAAATTTGATCGTTTTTTATTGGTGGGCGATTTTAACATTCATGTTTGCTGTCAGTCAAACCCTCTGTCGAGGGAATTTCTTAATATAATTGATGCTTTTAACCTGATACAGTGGGTTAAAAGCCCCACTCATATCCATGGTCATACTCTGGACTAGAGGTCTACACGGGTCCAAAAATTTGTAAATGTGCTACACTGAACCGACCCGGACCCGTCTATTATTTTGAAAGTTGGACCCGGGCCCGTGCAGAACCAGGATTTTCTACAGCAATTCACTGACTTTATTGGTAACATTGTCACTAAATTTGAACGTTTTTTTATTGGTGGGCGATTTTAACATTCATGTTTGCTGTCAGTCAAACCCTCTGTCGAGGGAATTTCTTAATATAATTGATGCTTTTAACCTGATACAGTGGGTTAAAAGCCCCACTCATATCCATGGTCATACTCTGGACTAGAGGTCTACACGGGTCCAAAAATTTGTAAATGTGCTACACTGAACCGACCCGGACCCGTCTATTATTTTGAAAGTTGGACCCGGGCCCGTGCAGAACCGAGAAATGTCAAAAATGTACTACCCGGAACCGACGCGGACCGTCAATTATTTGAAAGATGGACCCGAACCCGGCCGGGAAGACATAGACTCGACTGGACCCGATCGGCACATATTCCACAGCAAATTTCTATTAAGAAGTCGATAAACAAGTTGCGAAAATTAAACTTTTTGTCTTACCTAATGTAAGAAGCCTTCTCCCTTGTACTTGACTGTGATGCACACAATCCTCCTTGCCAAGAAAGTTACATTCGTGTTATTCCTCTCTTGCCAATTGAAATGCGTAATCCACTCATTATTCCAGTTTCAAAAATCCACTTGCTGTCACGGATGGCAAATGCGACTTTGCAGTTTAGCATTTTTTGCACTCGAGTCAACTTGCATAATAATTTAGACTGTTTGCCCATTTGGATTATAATAACGATTGCTCGTCCAGTGCCATGGCTGTCTGTGCCGAGTCTGAGCAAAAATTTTAGATATAACAACAAGACGGTTCATTCATAATATTATTATAAAAATAATCAATAATAACTCGCATCACTCATGAAGGTATCCATTATCACCGTGCGTGCGCATTAACTCCGCCCACCCTGCTTCTGATGATGTCGCTCGTGTTTTTTAATTTTTTCCCCCACCTTATTTCAAATTACCAACTCACACTTTTCTCCTCCTAATTTTACAAGTTGAAAGATACAAAACAACACACGCACAGTGCTGACTGACTCTGATAACGGCCGGGTGTTCTCCGAGTCCGATCGACTCGGGTATTACACACAATGTTAAACAGACCTGGCACCCGAAGTAATAGATTGGGACCCGACCCGGACCCGGCTGACCATTTAAAATATAGCCCCGAACCCGTACGGATCCCGGGTCGTGTCCCGGGTCCTCCATGTAGACCTCTACT